CCTACCAAATCGCTGCAAATATTCATCATGGATGAATCAATTGAAGCATGATTGAGTGGGTAGGTACTTTAAGAAGAAATTAGCCTCGTTAAATTAGAAGCCTCGTGTCTTTCATTTGTAAGCTTGATTAATCCGGATTTGTAACTGAACGTCCTATTGAAGGAGTAGTCCCACCTTATGAAAGAAAATTTTATTTTCGGAATTTAAGTCTGAAGTTTCTAGTTAAGGATGACAGGGTACTACCTATTGCCCACTAACCTTTTTGTTCGGGTTTAATAAACTCGCATAAGAATTGACTTGTTCAAGCTCTTAGCAAAAAGGAAAATAATCGAGTGCATCTAAAAAGGAACACAAAAGAAAGAGACACACACTAAACACTATGACAACGTGCAACACATGATTGTCCTAGGAACTTTTCTGAGCAATTGGACAATTCCTAGGTACTCCCTGTTTGGTTGGGTATGGAGTTTAAGAAAAAATGAAGACTTTTAGAATTTGTGATCCTAAACAAGTTAAAAAGGGACCCAGAGTATTTGTGTGTTATAAAAGCTTCTCATTAAGGTAGAATTATAAGTTTAAGCTAAATTGTATCCAAACTTCGAAAGGGATCATTCTTTTTGGAACGGACCAAAAAGGAAATAGGTTCACCTAAGAAGTATCAAATAGTAATACGTCTGATTATGTTGAAATTATTTTCTGTCTTGTCACCCATGGATGAGGGTAGAAACCAAAGGGAGACAAAAAGCCTTTTAATTGAACCTCTAGATTTAGAACCATTCTTCCTGATATATATAATCTTGTTTGAGGTCTGTACTTTCTGGGTTCTATTCCTATTCCCAACTACTGATCGTTGATTAGAATTAAAAAGTCAGTCCAGGGGTGTACAAAGAAAACCAACAAACCGCACTAATTCGATAATTTAAGTCAAATCGAGAAAAAAATCTAATTATGGTTTGGTTTGATTTGGTTTGGTGTTGGAAAAAAAAAACCCGACCATGATTGGTTTAGTTTGGTTTTAACTAAAGAAAGTCAAACCAAAACCAAACTAACCCGACATTACATATATAGAAGTTTTAGATATATTTAATATATAAATATATTTATTGTGATGTAATTTATAAATATTTCTTAAATTTTTTCATAATTTTATCTTTTAAGGTATTATTTCAAGGTTGGACCTAGAACTTTTGAATGTTCCAATAAGTTTTATAGCCATTAATATTAGTAAGATAAATAATGCTAGCAAAAGCCCAAACCAAAACCAAATCAATACTAATGCTAACAAAAGACATTCAATTCAATACTACGAACGAGCGTGTATTGAATATTCATTTTTTGTTTTGCAATAATTTAGATAAAAATGCATAACCTATTTTTATTTTTTCTTTAGTGTTTGGTCATGTAATTAATACTCCCTTATTAATCTACTTATTTTAGCATGACTTAGTATTTTCAGATTAATTATTTTTATTATGGCTTTTTAATTAGCAATATTTATATATTACATAAATTTATTGTCTTTATTGTTGAATATTTTAGGATAATGCCATGACACATCCCATATTTTGTATTATTTTCTTGAAAAATACTTTATATAGTTGTATCTTACTAGGATGAAAGAAATATTTTGAGCATAAGTTATATGTTTTGTTCTACGAAAGTTTTACCGGAAAAAAATCCGAATAACCCGAAAACCCGAGTAAAACCGATATTGAAAAACTCGAGTTTTATTGGTTTTGTTTGGTCTTTGTATTTAATAACCCAACACAATTGGTTTGATTTAGTAATTGAAAAATCCAAACCAACCCGACCTATGTACATCCCTAAGTCAGTGTGATACACAAAGCATGTAGGGTCCGAGGAAGGGCTGGCCTAAACCCCATGTAGGCAGCTTACCTAGTGCGAGCAGTAGTGTTGCTTTCACGGCTCGAACATGTGACAAAGATCACACGGAGACAATTTTACCGTTGCTCCAAGCTCCCTTCTCCTTGATTAGAATTAAAAATGGTTAAATGGTGTACTACAAACAATAGCAATAAGTCTCAAACATGCACTTCATTATTAAAGCTTAGGCACTTCATTATCATGCACTTCAAGAAGAGCCTTTACAGAGAGGTGTAAGCTTCGGCAATCTGACTGTGAATACTAATTAGTGTTTAACCAAAAAGTGTCAAGCTTTTTATTAACTAATTGATAAGAAAGAAGGAAGTGTTATAAAATAATAAAAGCAAAAGAACAATATTGCAGAGAAAGAGAGAGGAAATTCTTATTGAATTTTTTGGGATGAATTACAATGGAATAGAACCCTCTATTTATAGGGAGATGGTGACTTAGCCACCAAGTAATAAACCCTAAATCTCTCTAAATATGGACATTCACCATAAATAGGATTCTATTTATAACACTCCCCCTGAATGTCTATTCAACAAATAATGTGCCTCGTTAAAACCTTAACTAAAAGAAAACCCAATGGGAAAAAAAAATCTAGAAAAGGAAAAAGAGTACACATGTTTAAAAATGCGCCTATTGGTTGCCTCGTTAAAAACCTTGCAAGGAAAACCCAGTGGGACAAAACCTTGTAAGGGAAAAAGAGTGCAACGCGCATTAACTCCCCCTGATGAGAGCATCAATTCACATCCTTGAGCCTTCACATCCCAATCTTGTGCACTAGCTTCTTGAAGGTTGACGTCGACAAAGATTTTATATCAGTTTCAATATATTTTCATAATGACATAACATAGAGATCTCTTTATTGATATTTTCAGGTACCTGAATCTCTCATGAGATTTTATGAAGTGTTATGTCATGTAATCTTCTAGATCACTTGCCTCCTTTATTATGATCATTTTGATCATTTGCTCATCTTCTTTATCAAGAGGTTTATTTGAAACCGATTTGTCTATATGCTTTAAGCGTACCATAGACTTTGTCCTTCTAGGACTTAATATGAGCATTTGCATTGAGAATATAGTTACTTTCTTTGGGTCAGCAAATGCGCTGGCATGCTTTGCAATATATTACAAATGAATTATCCTTTTATGAACTTCAAGTTCATATTATCTTATTCGAGGATCTATATGAACAAATGATAATTCATTCCACGTAACTTTTTCTCAATTGTTTATCATGTCTCCCCCTCATGTTAGAAAAACTAACTTGTTTTCTCAACTTTGAGAACTCATCTTTGTGCTTTATGGTGTTAATCAAAATAAACACCGCACATCAATAATAATGAGATGAAATTATTTGGTTCCTGACCCTGAACCACTTGTGAGGGAAGAAAATAATATACTTTGGTGTATAACGTATATCAAACTGATATAGATAACTTTGTTCTCATAAGCAATTGTTTAGCGATCAAGTAGAGGCACTTAATAAATTATTTTGCTAAACCAACTGTGATGTAAACCAACTTATCAAGATGAACTTCTTGAATAGAAAATCTGAAAATTATGCTCGAAATTAAATTATTGAGCAAGTTACCTCGCAAAACACCATGTTGCAGGTTATTAATAATCGCACATGTAACCATCTCATAGATGCATCTTATGTGGTATACATGGCAGGTGAATGGTCCCATATTCACCTTTGATATTTCCAGTATTCATGGGATTCAATCCCAATTTTAGTTGATCTATTAATTAATGAGAACAAGCAATATAAGAGAATTCGTAAAGAACTTTCTAGTTCTTTAATATTTACCCATGTGAATTCTCTATTCTCCAAAATAGTATAATTGGCTCTTGCAGAGTTCTCAATTAATTTTGTACTACCACATATTCATCAACATCCATATGGTGAATATGTCTTTTAAAGAGAAAGTTGTACCATTATGGTTATGGTCAAAATTATATGCAAGATCTGTTTCTTGCATTACCATTAATCACAATGCCAAAATATTTTGGCGTACAATAGGTACATGACCAATGACCATTCATGCCATAATAATGACATTATTTTCTTATATCATCTCAAACCTCCTTCTAGAGGTGAGTGTGGTATATTCATTACCACTAGCACGTTCATATTCTTCCAAGAATGAATATGTATTCATAAATAAGATGTCATCACATTCACATCATGAATGGACCATAAGCATCTGTATATGCTTTACGAAATCTTATGTCAAATCGATGACAAACATCAACTTAACAGAGTGAAGGCTTATTTTGAGAATCCTTATTATTCTCATTACCACGATAATGACGATTATAATTTCGTCTATTGCCACATCCACATCCATTGATACCTTCACAGTAATAATTTTATCTTCTTTCAGACTTATCACATACTGCTATCACATTCTCTTAAAGGAATGAGAATGGAGCAAATTCAAGGGACGGGTTTTCAATTCTCTGCCCACAATCATACATGAATTTGATCATGGCAAGGCATAGAAATTTCCACTTCAGGTTGTTATAATTTCTTACAAACTCCACTAGAGTTATAATCAAACTTTGTTGTCTTTGCTTGTATATAAAATCAAATTATAAAATATCAAGAATTTAAAAGAGAAAAATAAAGTAAAATACTTACCTTAAATCCAGAATTTAATCATGAGGAAGTTCATGGAACAATTGACAATCATTATGCTCAATCTCAAAGCTTCTACTCAATTGGTTAGAGTCTCGTGCTGATAACGTGTTATAAAACAATAAAAGCAGAAGAACAATATTGCAGAGAAAGAGAGAGAGGAAATTCTTATTGAATTTTTTGGGATGAATTATAATGGAATAGAACCTCTATTTATAGGGAGATGGTGACTTAGCCACCAAGTAATAAACCCTAAAATCTCTCTAAATATGGACATTCACCATAAATAGGATTCTATTTATAACAGGAGGATAAATCTTAGCCAAGGATAATTAACTCTAGACCAAAACGCATTAAACAGGAGAATAAAATAAGGTCAAGCACACGCATCTTTTATACTTATAAAAAATATCAAATATAAGTGACATGCTTACATTCATGATGTACTGTTTAGCAATGCAAGAATAAAGGCGGAAAGAGGAACTTCCATTAATAGTTGCTGGATCTATCTATATTAACTCAAGAAAGATGATTACAAAGGTTTGCCGCCGAGATCTGCCACTTCTCTTGTTTTTCTCCTGTTGCTTTCTCCGGTTCTTCTACCTCTTGTTTTGTGTGGGAACCAGTCCCCTTTTTCCTATTCTCTCTCCCCTATTTATATAGTAGTAATTATTTCCTTTTATCCAGCGGTTCTTAACCAGAGGGCCTTTGGGTTGTTCCCCTTATATATCACGACATTTGCCTCGCCGTACAAACTTTTAGATGGTTCGACCCCGGCAGCGGCCGGGATACTCGTTGTTATGACGTCTTATGATACGACCATGGCCCAATCAACCCCTCACCATTCCTTTTAATGTTGATCCACGCATGATCAGATTTCGACCATACAATTAGTAGTAACACATAGGACAGCCTTCATTCTTTCAACACAAGCCCTGGCCCCATATCTGGTTCTCATAATCAGGGTAAACAATAGACTTGTTATCTCCTAAATGAAAGAGAAAATATACAATAAAACCAGCTTCTGCAAATAAATGGTGAAAACAACAAGAAAAGACCAGACTCAACGGCAACTATTTCACTCCAACAGGCTCCATCCGAATTATATTAGGAACACAAGAAAATGTGAGTGAGACAAGTTCTGGTCTCACCTACAATTTGAGTCCTTGACACCACCGCACCTATATAATTTTAGTGGCCACACTATTCAACTGATGTACATGGCACACCAAGAGAGTGCCTTGATTATTGATACTTTTTTTTAAGCTAATGCATGTTACATGTTTGATTATTGATAATTAAGGGTAACTCCAGAGAGTGTATGATGCATCAGAACATTCAGGCAACTCATCGTAAGGCGTCGTCTTCATCCTAGGAGGGCTCACAAGCATTGCCTCTGCCATGTCAACTAACAATCTTGGCATACCAAACACTTCCTCTTCATCAAAATACTCTTGTCCCATTGCTCCTTCATCTCCAGCTTCAGGTTGGCACTCTGCCTGATGCCGCGCTTCTTCGCTTTCCAGTTGTGGCGCTCTAACAGCAGCAGCATTTGCAGCTGCCGCGCGTATGTCTGCTGCTGTTAGGGAAGCTGGCATAGTATATGAACACATTGAGTCCGGGAAGTTCAACGGGGTATCGGGACCTTTTAATGCCAAAGCTGCAACATCATATGCTGCAGCTGCCATCTCTGGTGTTGGATAAGTGCCTAGCCATATTCTCGTAGTTTTCCGCGGCTCACGTATTTCTGATACCCATTTCCTATTCCTCCTGCGAATTCCTCTATAAACAGAATGCCTCCCCTGTTCTGACCTGTTTGATATAGCAGTACTATTACTAGGACAATGATTGCTCCACATTTTGCGATGTGTTTGATGAAATTTGCACAAAGAGAAAGGGTTGGTTGTTAAAGTCAAAATTAGGACTAGCCATGCATTGAAAAATAGGTTGAGGAGTATACTACTAGTTTGGGAATTGGGCTATAAAAAGAGGAGGAGTTCAATAGGCGAAGCGTGGGGAATTCGCGGACCCCTCCTATGGGCATACGTGGTTAGGGGCACTTATTAATGTAGTCTAATCTTGACATGTTTCTTTTGTGCCCACACGTAATTGGGGAAAGCTATAACTTAGCTGTTAAATGCTCAGTTATAGTCCAATCAAAGTAATTGTGTGATAGCATCAGTAAAGTGAAATTTAATGTTTTTCTGTTATCTTACTATAGTTAGAAATTCACATACGGAATTAACAGACACAGATTTAGTTGTTGATTTATGTCAGACCTTGATTTATATGTAAACAATTGAATATACGTCTCATTATTGAAATTGTCTTGCTTACAACAAAAAGAAAGTAGAGAATTGTAGCATTGTGTACGGGTAGAATCGGGGATAAAATTACCTCCATTTTCCGATGAAGAAATGAGGAACAACATGATTCAACGCTGATGCCGAGGGTGCCTGCAGATCGGAGCTCGGGGTGGATGAATGATAGTCGGGAATCGAGCATGGCCAAACATGGGAAGAATCAAGCTCGAGCGAAATAAAGAATCGGGGTTAAAGGGAAGATGGTTAAAGAGGACAAACGAGGAGCCAATATATCCGCCATTAGCCAGATATTACGGCACGAATCACACCCGATATTAACTGGGAATCGTGTTTTCTTGGGGAAAAAGGAAGGAAAGGATCTTATTTATGTCAGACCTTGATGTATATGTAAACAACTGAATATTAGTCTCATTATTGAAATTGTCTTTGGTTATAACGAGAAGAAAGTAGAGAATAGTGGTAGGATCTCTTAGCTTAGTACATATATAATTTTATAAATTTCGCCCTTTTATAATGGGAACCAAATAATATGACTATAAAAGTTGGAATGGAACTTTTTTCGATACTATATAACTAGATGGCTTGTGCTGCCCCACATAGGCGTATACCCGACATTATTGTTCGCTCAAATTGTTCCTGCCAATATAAAGTTACCATGTCACAAAATATCTATATGGGGCAAAGCACGAACTTGAATCCTCAATGGTAGCCAAACAACTCAACCACATAGAATATACATCCTATGCATTCCATGTTTTCAGAAGCAATAGACGACAAAAACCAAGACCTCAAAGCGCAATATCATAGCTTCATCTCCATCCCAAAACATATACACAATTATAGTTGGTGGAAGTGCTGAAATGTTAGCACCGTACAGTCTCTTCATTTCTCTAGTTTTGCTCTTTTAGATTGTATACGAGAGTGCAACATAACAAAGGATAAAACTTATACATCACTGAATTCTTCAAGAGGGACCTTTGAGGATTTCCGTTACTATGAAAATATTGATTTCACTTTGCTCCAAGTTTTCGACCCTTCGGTAAAGAAATCCACATCAAACCAGAAGCACAATCAAAGGAAAGTAAGTGAAATTATAAGCTTTTGCTTTCACAGTTGGGACAATAATTGCAATTAGGATGAGTGGAACCTGAGCATGCGTTATATATTATCACACATTGATTGAAAACACAATATAGAGGTTTCAATTCTAAGCTATACTAACTATCTTGAAAGGGAGTGTATTTGTGCTTCTAAACTTAATTAATGGAAGGGGAAGTTTGCAGATACAAATTGAACTTGGATAATCTAACAACAATATTATCTTATTGTATATCTTATTACTTAGCAAACAATGATTGTCTCTTCCCGCAGCATAAACTCTGAAATTGTATACTAAACAAACATAAGAAAATCTAAATAATACATAAATATAATGACAGCAATAATTCTTGATATCCTTTTAGTTTACACCCAATGCTTTCATTCTCTTGTCCATCGAATTGCCAATCAGGTTTTACAGCTGAAAGCTATTTATAAATTAGGAAAGTGAAAGAAATAAAAGACTTCTGGTCATATACAGAATTTGGTATAAAAGGATCGATAGGATATCAAACTTAATTATGCGAACCCATACCACTCCATTAAAAATGAAGAGACTTACATATTGTAGTCCCCAGATTTATATCTCTATTGACCGCCTCCACTCAATATCAATCATAGGTAACGTTTATATCAAGAGGGGCACAAAAGCTATAATCTAATAAGTATCAATTCAATTGAACTTGCAAATACTTTCTAACATTTACCATTAGTTGCATAAACACCATCGGCATAACACTTTGTACAACCTATTGTTTCTTGTGGCTCAATGAAGTCTTCAAATTCAGAATAAACTGACTTCTTGTTCATGTCTGAGAAAAATTAAAGTTACTTACTTTCCAACTCAAGTGCAGAGAAAAAGCAAGTTGAAAGGAACCTAATAAATTTTGGGAGCATAAGTGCATTCCCAAAATGCAGCATTTCCAGTTCCAATTTCAGTTCCAGTGACAATATGCATAATAATGGCATAAAGCATAAAAGCATGTAAAATTTACCACTAAACTATTAGAGCCAAAGAAGCTAGAGATGGCAACATTCCGATAAAACAGAGGAATAAAATGCATTTTGCTTCTAGTCAAGTAATGGACAAATCACAAGGTAAATTGTTTCCTCTTATACAATATTGTATTATTACACAAGAAGTTTTGGCTTCAAGGCAGTACAACACAATGCTAAAGATTATTGTACCAAATATAATGGAACAATAACCAGAGTGCCGGTGGTGAAGTCTTTAGCTAAAATAGCCTAGGGCCGGTCAAGGGAAGAAGTTTTGCAGTTATCTACAAAAATTATTTTGGTTAGGAAAGGAAAGATTATATATATAATTACCAAAGTAAGAAAGGATTTGCTCAAAGAAATGAAGAAACTGCAATGTGAAGCAAAAACCAGATAATTTAGCTAAATCAGTAACGTCTTTGGCCTGTGAAGATAAAGAGAAATACTGCAGAAGATAGTAAACTTAAAAATGCACTTAAATTCCACTATTAATACCTGCAAAATCAAATATATAAACATAAAATTAAAGTATTACTGCGGCTTGCAAGAGTCCGAAACTTAAATGGCAAATTTTTGGACTCAAAATACGTTTCTACAGTTTTAAAAAGAAGTTACTTTTCTACCTCAAACGTGGTATTATACTGCGTTTTACTTTAACGGAATTTTAGCCGTTAAAGTAAAGCGCAGTATAATACTGCGTTTTACTTCTTTTTTGGGCCCACCAATAAGTGTTCTGCGGTTAACTGACATAACAATTATAAAGCGCGGTATTATACTGCGTTTTACATAAAAAAAAAATGCACCGCGAGCTAGGACTTGCCTTATTTAAAGGCGTTAGGATTTTATGAAAATCCATTCAAAACTTTTCCTTCAAACTTCCGTTCATACTTTTCTTCTTGTTATCAAGCACTTTTTTATAATGTTTGAAGAGCCAAAGATAAGGGTTTCATTATATTGGGGGAGTGAGGTTGTAATGGAGAATAACTTTGTGAGGTATAGTTCACCTCCACAGTGTCATGTTAAATTGCCGCTTACAATGGAGTACGATAAATTGGTATCGTTGTTACGTAAGAAAATTGTGAGGAAACGTTCGGTGAACCTTAAAGTAACCGGTAGATTTCCGTATTCTGTGACTCCGCAGGGGTTTGCTTATTATTCTGAGTTTAACATCGAAGATGATGAAACTCTTAGAGATTTTTTGCGGATTCCGGATGAAAACAGGAAATTTATTGTATTAAAATTGTTGGAAATGTACGTCAAGGTTGAAGACGTTCCCAATAATGAGGGTGTGCATAGTAGGGATAACCCCCAGTCATCGGGTGGTTATTCTGGAGCAGTGTTTGCTGGACAGATTCCTGATGAAAGAGTTTGCCTTGATTTAAACTTATCACCACCGGCGAATGAGCAGCGAGGAAATAATATTTCGACTTTATAAAATCCACGAGACGACTTGTAAACTTCAATTTTTCTACGCTTTAGCGATGTTTATTTTATGTTTGAATTGGATTTGTATTAACGCTCATATTTTTCATAGGGGGTACCGTCCGAATATGAATTTTACAAGTTATGACCCCGCTCCTAGTTGGAATATGCGTAGTTCTGGCGTGTTAGACCACGGTGGTCCATCCGGGAGTCATCACCAACAAGAAGATGTCCATCATGGAACGTCAACATAGTACGACTTGCAAGTGAAGTGATATAGCTATATGTGTATTTATCAAGTTGAGTAGCTTATCATTTTGTTCTTTTTGTGCAGTGAAAACGAGCAACTTGATGTTCCTGACCTCACACAGTTGCCCATAGACGACGTATTGACTTGTGATTTGGCAGATGCGCAGAGTCAGGAAGATGATAGTGATTATGACAACAATGCCGATGAGTCTGGAGATGACACACCCTTCCCCGATGAGGGTGATGATGAGGAGGAAGTGAATGTCGAACCTGAGCTGACGAGGGAGCATGCTCCTCCACCTCCCGTTAGACCAAGAGTGTACGAGTCCCACGTGCCGTTTCATGAGCGGAATATTCCCTACCTTGATAATTTGCCAAGTATGCCGGATGTGGATGCCCTCACAAGGGATGCTGACGAATTTCGATCAACAATGTGGGATGAGTCTAGACCAGCGGTGCTGGCAAAGGGCATGTATTTCCCGATAAAGCTCGCCTAATCAGGGCTGTAAAAATCTACAGCGTAGCCGCGAGATGACGGTAAGGGAGTCAACTATGGAGGAGGTGGTCCCCAGCAAGGGGGCGTTGAGGCACCTGTTGAGACAATTTATGAGGCACCCGATGAGGATCTTGGAGATGATCAGCCGGGTTACATACCTAAACAAGACGAGCCCTCCAGCAGCATGCCATCGTACAGCCTTCAGCTGGAGTTGCCACCATCGCAGGTCAGCCCGTCAGATCCATTGTTGATCACGGGTACATTCGACGGAGAAGTAGAGCAGCTTTTTTCAGGCCCATCTACCGCAGTTGAGGATCGGCCGACCCGACACGTGGATGGTGGGCGCAAGTTGAGTTTTGGCTCATCCCCGGCGGTTGCGGCAGATCTATCACAGGCGCAGGTATTTTTGTATTACTATTAAATTTTAATTTGTTTTTTTCCTTAATGATTTGCCATAAATTAATTTTTAATTTTCTTATTAAGGCTTCGTCCCAGCCCATGACGGAGCCCACTTTATGCGATGATGAGGACACCACGGATGCTTATATTCAGGAGCCTGACGAGACCATGGTAAGAAAATGTTTTTGACTTAACACGTACATTACTAATATACATTTTCATATACTAAGCTTACTAATTGTTTTGTAGGTTGCTGACGGATCGACGACCCCTTCTACCGATCCTGCCAGCTCTTCTGACGATCATGCTGCAGCGTATCCTCATATAAAGAGGCAACGTGATGAGGATGATCCTGATACTGTACCCGGGCGACAGGGGATGCGCCTCAGGCCAGCGGCTGTATTGAAGCACACAGGCTGTGGGACACATTGATTTTTTTTTTGTTTGTATTTTATGTAAATAATACATTATGTAAATAATGGCAAGAATTTTATTTTAACACAATTTGAACAACAATTTTATAATAACACTACAACACAAACACAAACATAGCAAACCTAACATAACATAAATTCAGTACAACTAATGAAAACACATGACACGGGAAACATTAAGATACACTACTACGCTCAACACGTACATGTCATTGTTTAGTCACGACCGCCTAGTATTCTCTACTCCAACCAAATTTGTCTTCCAGCTTATTTTTTTCTTCTTCCACCTCCTTGAGTTTCTCCTTCAACTCCGCAACTTCTAGTTTGGATTGTCACTCTCTTTCCACTGCTTCAAATACAAACTATGAAGATGCTGCAACTTTTCTTTGTAGTATTCCTGCTGACAGGGTTCATCAATCCATACCTCAAAATTGCAAACAAGTTCGTCGAGAACCCTATAAAACTTTTTCATACAAGCCCAGTAGCGGCGTCCAGCTTCTTCCCAACAGTCGTGCATCATGCATTTTTTGCCGCACTCGCACCTTAGGAGATAAAGGGGTTCAGACATTTGTTAAAGCGTAAAGAAAAACCTTGATTTTATGGAAATATTTGCTATTGGTTATTGTTAAGCGCAGAAAATAACTAGAATGCGCCCGTTATTTATAGGCAAGACAACACACAAAAAGTAGTATTGTACCGTGCTTTACATATTCAATTTTTCTGAAACGAAACAGCTTTTGTGCAGTCGGTTCAGCTTTTCAGACCGACAAGACAACACACAAAATGTAGTATTGTTCCACGCTATACGTATTCAATTTTTCTGAAACGAAACAGCTTTTGCGCAGTCGGTTCAGCTTTTCAGACCGACAAGACAACACACAAAAATGTAGTATTGTACCGCGCTATACATATTCAATTTTTCTGAAACGAAACAGCTTTTGCGCAGTCGGTTCAGCTTTTCAAACCGACAAGACAACACACAAAACGTAGTATTGTATCGCGCTATACATATTCAATTTTTCTGAAACGAAACAGCAATGTCTTCATTTTTCCTTTGTTATCTTTTAATTTCATGCATGTTGCTTTAGTTATGGTTGTTGTGCTTTTATCTCTTTGAATATTATGTTATGAAATTTCAATCTTCAAATTGGTCTTCTTTACTAACACCAATAAGTTAAATGTTGGACAACCATATCATCATCCCAACTCAAAAGGTCATGTTAAAAAATAAGATGTAACAAGATTGTGGAACATAATTTTATTTGATAGATATTGCAACATACACAAGTACAGACACTTATTACAAAAAATATTACGAAAACAAAACACTAGGTGTATCCTTGATAGTTGGGTACATTCGACGAACTTGCACCAGGAGCTGGATTACCACCGCCACCCGCACCAGCTGAAGGACATTTACGACGGTCGTGTCCTGTTTGCGAGCATATGCCACATTTACGTGCATAAACGGTATCACCAACATCCATTTGGTTCCGTATACACGTTCTCTTTTGCACTTGCATCTTGCGCAAATAGTCCTTGTTACACACCATTTTAAATGGTTCCGGCGGCCAATAATGCTCAGCACCCAATGGCTGCAACTGCCCACTGTATGTGTCTACGTATGCAGCAACACTATATTGCCTATCAACATAGTTGGTTGCCGCTAAACCAACTTGTTGAAAGCACTTCATGGCATGTGCGCACGGCATGTGGTAGATTGTCCATTTACCACATGAACACAACCTGCTGGCGTCATTCACCATCTGTAGATTATTCCCCCGGTGTCCGCGGATAGCGGTGCAAACTTCAAAAA